ATAAAATATACATAATAGGTTTTCTTAAATACTATTTAAAAACCTGTCTTATATAAGACTCTGCAGAGCTAACTTGAATAAGCATTGTTACTGAACTGAACCCCTTACTTTATGCTTCATGTTTCAAGTGCTCAAACTGTTTTTGCCTTCTAGTTCTGTGTCCTTCTGAAAGGTTAAATGGATTTTGAAAGGTAGCTTATAACTGAATTAATAACACAGAACTCAGGCCCACAAAGAACTATATATGTACTACTGTAACACAGAAAAAGAATGTTATCATCGTCTCAGTCATCCACTTATCAAACCATAGTGTGATACATGCATAGTCTCTCTCACTCTCTCTGTCTCTCACACACGCACACAATATTTCCATAATTTTGTAGTGCACATATTATCTATGTTGAATACTATGCAGACTTGATAGAGCGAGAAGGCTGGTTCAGTTTCTATTCTGGGCCAATTGTACCTTCATAATTCTGTTGTCTCTGTGATTTTACAACATTGTTTTATTCCACTGTCTCCTTGTTTGAAAATCACTGTAGGTCACCTCTGTGTAACTGCCTATGAGGAAGCTTAGACAGAGAGTGAACTGGAGATTGCTTTGATTCACTGCTTGCTTATTGGTTTGCAACAAATCCAGCCCAGACAGAGCTGAGGTCTGGACACCATCCTATCTGTTGTTTAGGAGATACCGATATCTCAGTATTTGTACTCAGGAGATACCAATATCTCAGCCATTTGTCCTCAGGATCAATCATCCCAGCCTCAGTGTCAGCTTTCCAAAGCATGTGAATCAGGGGCAGATCCAGAGGGATAAGGTGGCATGGTTGCATGCCGTTTTTGGATTGGAAGCTTTTGGAAGCTTCTGGGGAACTTTTTTTAAGTCTCCAAAGCATAGAAGAATCCCACTCCTCCTTCTTCAGGCTCAGGCACATCATGTTCCCTACTCTTCCCCCCCACTCTTTCTCTTGCTGCTGCTGCTGTAGTCTGGGGTGGGATAAAACTTCAAAGTTACTCCTGGGATGAGCTCAGCTGGGAACAGTTAAAGGAGAGGCAATGGGCAGGGGCTTCCCATTTCCCACATCTGCTCCCCAGGGGACCAGACAAGGTGGGAAAACTCACCCTACCACCCACTGCACTGCTACAGCTGTTAATGCTCCTTACCCCGCACATCCTCCAGCTGGAGCAGGCAAGCAAGGCCTTGAAGCTTCCAGGCCCCTGGGAGAGCGAGGAAAGGGGCAAGGAGAGGAAGGTGAGGACTCTTACCTGCTTCAGGGTCTTTAAAAAAAGTCCCCAGAGGCTGCTGCAGCACGGGGTGCCCTTATGTGAGGGGGTGGGAGGAGCCTGGGAATGGGGGTGCAGCCACCTCTGCAGTGGGGGTGAGTGCTCCTGTACCCCCATTACCAAATCCTGGATCCGCCTCGATGGGAATGCATGCAGTGTTTTGTTGCCTTACCTCAGAAGAAGTCCATTTGCAAGACTGATAAATTCACACTTTAGAAACACTGCTTGGGGTCAGACAAAACAGCGTGTAGGGTGAGCCAGCCCTCTGCCTTAGACAGTAGCTCAAGACTGAGAGCAGAGCAAATGGAGGAGTGGCCTGGAATTCAGATCCTAGAAACAGGGCAAGGGGCTTAGCATTGTCCCTTTCCAGAAATCTTCAGCTCCCTATTGCAGGTTCTCAGGCACTTTCACTGCAAGCCCTGCAACAAAAGGAGGCTTTAAAGTGCTCATCTGCCTATTTGATGTACCCCTCCCTCGAAATAATTTCTTCAACCAGTGCCCAGACCTGAAGAAGGGCATGAGGTGCCCAAAAGCTTGGTCCTGTAAAAGCTATCACCAAAAAGATCCTTGTCTTTTCCTTACGTTTACCATTTAAAGAGCCAAGGAAATTGTTTCTCCTCTAAATAGGTCAATCTGATTCTCCCAACCCTCACGTGGAATGGTCTCTCTAATTTCAGTGGGGCTACTTGAAAAGTAGGTTATTATTCAGCCTGAGTTAAGGTAGCACAGAAACCATGTGCCAAGTACGAGGAGTCAGTAGGTGGTACTTTTAAATATAAATCTTAGGAGTCCATTCTTAACCTATGAGCAGCAGAGTCTGTGAAGAAATATTTATGTTGATAGTCTTGTGGTGGTTTTTGTTGATTTGTTTTTAGGGGAAACAAGGAGGGTGGCTCACTTCCTTAATGTTCGCCTAGAGCGAATTCTTGGGACAGCTGTCTGGAACCAAGATATTTGTACATGGACAGGGACGCTTAGAGTAGGTTGCTTGCATGTTGTTTGTAACTACTTCAGTTGAAGGACTGTCATGAAATAAAAGGGTATGTCTACCCAACATAACGTAACACTACAGCTAGCTCCAGAATGGGAAGGAGTAGTGGTAGTTGCTTTATAATTAGCTTGTTCAGAGCACCATGCTAAATGCAGCTATTTTGATTCTAGGACATGAGCTAGCAGGTCTGTATGGCCCTGACTTGTGTTGGGTAGACCTACTAGCTCTTTTATTGCTAACTACATGGTGCTACATTATTTCTTGACAACATGCCCCCTAAGCTACACTTATAGCAGATTCTCCATCACTGATTTCTTCTCCACCAGGAACTCAACCTGCAGTGTTCCTAAACCTGCAAATGGAAATTTCACAATTACACATGCGCATTCTGAGAGACATGCCTGGAAGGTTATAGTTATCAAGTTTACCTGGAAGTGTCCCCTTTGATGGGAGGGATTAAAATAGCTATAGATTTTAGACCCTATGCCTCTTAAACTTGGTGGATTTGTGTGAAAGGACAGGAACAATCTTGAAGAGATAGCTGTTGCTCCAGTGTCTCCTACTCCAAGCTCTTTCTCTGGAAGCAGCAGAAACTGCATTAATATCAGATGAACTTATCTATGGCTGCCCTGTGATAGCCATGGAGGAGCTCAGCTACAAAGGATGGTAAATACAGGTCTGAATTGCTTGCATTTCCACAGAGAACTGTGGCTTTTTCAAGCAGTTCCTACTCTGGTTTGGCCCCTGGAGTCTGTGATGCATCAGACCACTGGCAGTCAACAAAGGGAAGACAGTACCATGAAGCAAGTACTCTTTACTCCTGAGCTGAAAGGGTTCCCTTGAGGAGGACATGTCCATGAGACTATTGCTTATAGAACATGACTTTTACACACAGAACTTACCTCTTGAGTAGTTTAGCTAACAAAATACATTAATAAATATTTCACTATCCTTTATCCCGGGATTTTAAAACGTAAATTCTGCCTCCAAGATGGAAGCTGAAAGGGAGCATGTGCATGCAGCCATGGTAGAATGCATTGTGGTTTGTGTGGATTCCTTCAGATTTTTCTCTGGATTGGAAATCAGGTTTCAGTAAAGATGGATTTTACCATTCATAATGCATCAGCATACAGGTCCCAGTCAACAACCACTGGTGTCTCAGGAAACTTATGATAGATGAGTTTCTTTCCTGTTTTTCTTTTCTCCATCTCTTTATACCTCAGAACCTAAAACCACACATTTTTTACTGAGATTTCCTAATACATATGTTCTATCTCTGTAGTAATGTGTATAAATATTTGATGATATTAGGAAAAACTCTCTCATTAGGAGAGTGGTGAAGCACAGAACAGGTTACTTAGACAGGTGGTGAAATCTCCATCCTTGGAGGTTTATAAGGCCTGGCTCGACACAGTCCTGGCTGAAATGATCTATCTGGAGATGGTCCTGCTCTGAGCAGGGGGTTGGACTAGATGATCTCCTGGGCTAGGGACAGACATTCAAAAAGCCTGAGCCTGAGATGATTCAATCTTTGCAGATTAGTTTAACCTGGCTAGGCTGAAACTGGACAGACATTCTCTCTGGACTGAGGAAATTCAGGCACATGCCTGCAGTAGCTCAGGGTAGAAGCCAGGGGATGCTAAAGCAGCCCTCCCTTCCCTTCAACAGTGCTGAGCTGAGGGGGATGTGGCCCCAGCAGAATGCTATGATCAGGGAGGGGTTCCACCCCATCGTGGGCAACTCAACAGGGAATGTTTATCATCCCTAACTCAGTGTTTACCAGCTCATTAAGAAAACAACAAAGGGACATTACCAGTTAACTGTTGCTTCTGCCTTTGTCCCATGTGCCACAGCACAGAGGTAGCCAGCATGTGGTCTGCTAGCTAATGCTGAGAGATGTCTGTGAGGGATGGGGAATGCCTGCTTAGCAGAGAGTGGGGAGGGGAGGTGGGGAGCAGAAGCCAGGCAGATGCCTACAGTCTCTACCAGAGCTGCAGCCAGGGAGCAGAGGGAAGGGGCCAGCCCTGCTGTGAAGCAGAGAGCCCTGCTCAGCCCAGAGTACATGCCAGGATGCTGGGGGAGTCTGATTTAATTTAAACCAGTAAGGGGTCTGGGACAGACATTGCAGGAACCAGTTTGAGCCAAATCAGTTAATCTGATACTATATTCAACTAGATTTATCTCAAACTCGTTTCAGCCATTTTCAAACTGGTTTATATGCACTGAACATCTGTTCTGTTACATGTTTAAACCAGTTTCTGATCACTTAAATCGGTTTATGTGTAATGTCTGTCCCTAGCCCAGTAGTCCCTTCCAACCCTCATTTTCTATGATTCTGTGGACCAGATCCTGACACCCATATTGAATATCCCTTTCCTCTGTGAACAGTCCCTGGAATGATTTGGGGAGGAGTCCAGGGCTACTCAATCAGATTGAAGCAGTCGTTGGCAACCTTAAAGCTGCAGGCCAGTTAGTGTGCATTAGGACCCAGATGCCAGTGCTGCTTTTCCCTACACTCCCTTGGGTAGAGTGCCCGCCTTCCTGCTCCAGCATTAGGAAAGCAACTGCTGCCAAAGCCCGATGTCTGCAGGCTAGAGGTTGCCAACCCCTAGATTAAAAGATTTAGAACCTTCTACTTCCTTAGCCGATCAGGTGATGGTTTTTGGCATCAACTAACCTTCTTTAGTTATGATAGAACAAGACAACACAGATCAGTTCTTTTTTTTTCTTTTTATATAAAATAGACATTACATACATTTTCTTTCAGAAAGACTTTGAGCATAACTCCATTATAGGCAAAATGTATCCATAAACCCCACAGTGAAAGAAGCAAAAAGACTTCAAATTCCTGTACTACTGACATACATCCAGCTGCTTAATGATAATTTAATTTTAAAATATATCTAACTGGTATTATTTTTTCAAAAAAAGAGAGATGCACAACTGATAAAATAAGAGATACAAATGTAAGAACCATATGAACAATAACCAAGGCAAATAACTCCCAAATGATAGAACAAAAATGCAGTATGACACCCACTTCAGGCAAAGTGATCTTGACAGTAATAAATGTGTAGAAGCCATAAACTTTCACAGAGGATGCTGTTTGGGGAAATTTCCCAGAATAAAGAAATTTTCAGCAAGCCAGTACAAACATGGCAAGGAAGTTCTGCACAAAGTTATAGAGATCACCTAAAGCAATGTTGCCACACTGCAACAATATTATGTCAAGCAATTTCTCCTTTTGCTATTCTGTTTAAATGCATACGAAAGCAAAATTGTACATTTTAAAACTATTGCATGAGCCCTCTAAAAACTCCCTGTGGGCTAGATTTTCAAAAGTTGTGCACCATTATTACCTGTAAAAAGCAGAAATCAGGCATGCAAACAATAAAATGCACACACATTTCAAGCAGGTGTAACTATGCATTGTCTTCAGTGGAACTTAAATATTTGCTTTGATGAAGTGAGGATGGGCAATCAACGCACATACAACTAGCCTCAGAGTATTTGCTAGCAAGTAAAACCAGCATGTCAATGCTCTTAATTCCAAAGAAAGCAAAATATACCCAATAGTTGTCTGATTTTGCTAGATACTAAGGTGCTGCCGTTCCTGTTGATTTGGGATGGTGGGTGTTCACATCCTTGGAAAATTAGCCCCCATACATAGGACAGCATGACTGTGTGGCTACAGAGTCCACTGTCTCTTGTATGGGGTCTTTTTCAATTTGGAATTAATGCACCATTTTCTCTGATGTGTAGTTGTGTCAATTTGGACAATTTTCCCTGTACATTTTAATGAAAATCTAGCCCAAAGAGTGGAAGAGCAAGATAAAAATAACAACCTCCTTAAGTCTTTTCTTCTGAGCAATAGAAAAAAGAAAGGGGGAGAAGCAAAGAATGCATATTTTAAACAAGCAAGATGTTTGAAAAAGCCCCACACAAAACAAAAAAAATTCCAAAAGCCCCATCAGTCAAAAGTATTGTTCTGGGTGAAAAAAGACCGAAGAAGAAGAGAGAGAATTGTTTATAGTTTTTCATTTAAGATTGAAATGCATAAATAGTATATAAAAGTCTGGGTTACTTCACTGGGCTGATATGCCACTATACAGGTATAGAGGATTAGACAATGCCACTTCATACATGGAAGAGCGAGCCACCACCTACTATGGTTTTCAGCAAAATATGCATTCATAATGTGCTAAGCATGCTGAGTACTTTCATAGGCAGAAACCAAAGTATTTATAGTTTTGTTCTTTTAGGAGCTGTATAAAACCAGAAAGAGCAGCTGTTTCCTATAATTAATGAGAATAACATCCATTTGCACACAAGTTAACTTAATCTACTTATCTTCACAGAAAAAATTCCTTTTGGGTGAGACAACCTATTGCAAACAACACACCATTGTTCATCCTCACCTCTAGTAAACACTTCATAAGATTCAAGCCTTAATCCAGCCAAGCATTTTAGTATTGAAGCCAAAGAGACTATTTGTGCACTTAAAGCTGTACACATGCTTTGCTAGTTTGGGGCTCTGGAAAGCTTGGGGAATAATTGATCAGTTTATATTACCTGGTTTTTATATTATTATTTGCATTGGTTTGGGCCAGAAAGTGCTGTTTGGAGGTGGGGGGGAAGAGGGATTATTTAAATGAGTTCTCTTCTCCTGTCCCTAAAACCGTTGTAAATTTGCTTCATGAAAGTCTATATTCAGCCTTTCACAGCTGTGCATAGGCTAGGATTTATTTCAGATGGGATTAAACCTCACTCTCTACTGATATGTTGCCAGTGTATACCAGCAGGTTTCTCATGTGTTGGCAGGCAACTGAAGTTTAAGGCTGAAGCAAGCAAGCAGAGACAGCACAACTACAAGCACACACCTGCCCTACTGCTAAATCCCCACCATACATTACAGGGGTGATTCTGTGCTGCCTTTCTGCAAAGATAGTGCTAGAATCCTGTTGCCAGGGGTCGGATGGTATCTTTTCCTGCATCTTGGACAGACATCAGAAAGCTGTTCTGTATTGATGTACTTGCACAGGACAACATAGCCTTAATCAAATGCTATTGTGGTAACGACACCTCCTTTGTCTTCCTTGACTGACCTGATAGAAACTTTCAACCAAAGTTCAAACAAAAAGTCTTTGTCCTCAATAATCCTGTTTAAAAAAATACAACTTTTCTAAAATTTAAAAAATAGCTTCACTGGCCACAATTTAAAACCACATGTGTGGCACGGAGAATATATATTCTTTATTTTCATCTAACTTACTTTTTTCTGAGGAAAAATGTATATGCTATACAGCTTTTACCAACAGATTTCCTTCATGTGCCCCACCCACTCCATTCCCACATATTCTCATGCCTCGAGTGTCTTCAGTTAGGTCTCAAAGTAGTGAGTTACAGGAAAACATGGCTTGAACATTCCTGTTCTGGGAGCTGCTTCCAGCATTGATATTAGCATCTTTATAAACAATACATCAGCAAAGTTAGAGTACATGACAGTGACACCATACAGTGAAATCCTTGTCCATCAGGACCCTGGCCCATCATCCATGAAGGGCTCTACCGTGTAAGCCACTGAGTGCTCTTCAGTCCCTTTAAACTCGGTGAGAATTAGCTGATAACACTGAACACTTCACATGCTTGGGTTGTAGTTATCTAGACAAGGCATGTTTACTACTTGTCTTGCATCCCACAGATTTCACTGAACCTCTGCACACGCATAAAGATCATGCCATGCAAGACTGAGGCACTATGCTCTAAAATTAGCACACAGAGGCTCAGTTTCAAAATGATGTATGCTTAGCTTAGATGGGAGTAGAGTGGATTAATATTCACTGTATTCTTCTTTGAGAAGTTTCTCTTCTAAAGGGAAGCTTTGCTGACAGCCAAGTGTGCAAGTTCTGTGGGGGAAAAGGGTGAGAGCTTTATCTGAACGATGCTGTATATACCCCCTTCACGCATTTTTGGAAAACGTAGGCAAACATCTTTTACTTATGATTTAAAGTGCTATAGGCTTCTTTGAATATACATATGCTGTCTGGGCCTTGAAAACTTTGTTATAATCCCACTGCTGTACAACTAAGGAATTGACAATTTACAGAGATCATTTTAGATCTGGTTTTGACTACATAGCTTTCCACAGGATTTGACAGCCTGACCTCCAGGGATGCCAATTTTGACTTTGTAGCTAAAAGTTCATTTTCTCCCTGTTAGCTCCAATTCAGGACATTGAGTTACTCCCTCCCTGTCCTATGGGAAAGCCTGAAACCCTACACCTACCCCAGACAAATAATTTCAAAGTAATGATTTCACTAGGGACCTACCAAGTTGCATGACAGCATGTATAGCCATCATCAGGTAGGTACAAGGGATTGTCCAAAACTGACTGACAGGATAATTGCAACTGCTCTGACTCTGGGGGCACGTCTACACGTGATGCTACATTGCTGTAGCAATGCACTATGGTGACATAGCTCATTAGCAGGAACAAACCGTGATGCTGATGCCCCATCGCTGTAACACGTTGCTATGACGATGTAGATGCTAAAAATAACAGTGCGCTGCCAGGTTGGCTGTTACTGTACCACCACTTGGTACTTCCTAAAGCAAGTACGAAACGATGGTGCAGTAACAACCGTGCCATGGGGTGCACATGCAGATATGCCCTAGAAGTCCAAAAAGACAATAAGTCCTTTAGCAGAAAAGGAGGTAGTTTGGATTTAGGATAGAAGGGAAATGTTATAGCTCTGCCACCTGAAAATGCCAGTGGCAAATCATGGCTGCAGTTTACTTGGCCTTATATGAAGTGAGGCTGGTGAGGGGGGAGAAGCAGAGTAATATAAGGCTCCTCAGGATCTGTCTGTATGTCTCTGGGGAGGACAGTGTGCCTCAAGAAACCTGCCCTGACCAAGAGGCACATTTTAAAGAGCCTGGATGCGACTCTGAGCACACTTTAAACCAGCTATACTGTCTCATTCTGGACTTTAGCCCATGCTGGGTGGGAGTGAGCAGGCAGGGCCTGCTTCTCAAGAGTGCTCCTGGGATCACTACAGGGACAGTGTAAATGTGTCCTCAGAGCTTAGCCCTTCTGACTCCATGGTCTTACCGAGCCCCTGGAGATTCACCTGGCCAGGTGCAGAAGGTAACGTCTTAAACTACAGCATCAGCTACCTGGTGAACAGAATCATCCATGGTTATACCTCAGCCCAGCCACCAGATCCAGGTGGGCAGACTCTTGTGCTTGTATAAAGCCCCTCTAATTCAGAGATTGCTGATTGGAGTCATTGACTTCACCGAAAGAACCAGCAATTAGAAATCAAAACCCTGAAATAAAACAGATAAAGTCACTGCTAAACTATGGTATGATCGTGCTTACCTATTATGCTTTAGAGCCCACAATACTGATACATTACTGCCAGTTTCTAAAATCAGTCATACTATGGGCCATTGCCACAAAACTTTCCCTGACATACACTGCAATCCCCACCTAACTATCAATTCCAAACCCTGGGCTTCTCTTCAGCAGAGACCTGGCAATACAGTGTGCTGTGCAATGGTTTCCTGATGGGAGGTAATATGAGAGAAATAGACTTTTGATATGATCTGCTGTCCTGAGTGAAAGGACAGGGCCTCAATCACTGTCCGATCTACCTTCCTTAACTACTGCAGTTATTGATAACCAATCAAATTCCCATCTCAGCTGAACTAGTGCAACCCGAGTGAAGCCAACAGTGTTGGCATTGTTGTTATGTGGAAAATTTGGTCCACCATAGATTACATCCAATTGCTCTAGAACTACCAGTAGGGGGAATTATTCAAGCACAACCTTGTGGTGCCATGTTGAAAGTCACAACCACATGCTGCGTGGCCAGTTGTAAGGGATGACATCCAACTTTACAAACAGAGAAAATATATTAAGCATTTTTATTTATAAGTTAAATAAATAGTACTTGGAATTTTTTTTAAAATCTGAAGTAAACTTGCCTTCCCACTCACATTTAAAAATATATAGATTTAGAGTGATCAGATATAACTCACCTCCAAGATCCAGAAGGGGGGAAACTTGGCAAAAAATCAACATGATAAACATATTCCCATGCTATTAAAAAAAAATCCAATCACTTAAATCTTTCCTAATATCTCTGTGCTTTACCTGATAAAATGTTTTGACCGGGATTTTTTTCCCTCCAAGGCAGGTGGTGTGGGAAAGCCATTTTAAAACTTTATATTATTTTCTTTGAATGGTTTCAATTTTTTCATAGAAAACTATTCTGACTGGGGTGAAAAAGCCTTCAGATATTTGACAGTATTGTAATATAATGAATCTTGTTACAAAAAGATTATTTTATGAGAAAAATATTCAGCTGAGGTTTTTCCTCAAAGGACTTGCTGTACAAGCCATAGGATCAGCATTCCTAGACAGAATTATGTCCAGACATAGTTCTCCCTTTTCTTGGGGTCATTTTAAAGCCACTACTGGAGCCTTAAAAATGAACACTATTTTCTCCGAGTTGGATTCCTAAATTACCTCTGAGGGCCTCTGGTGATTACTGTTACCATCTTCCTGACTTAGAAAAACTTGTGGGACATGCACTGGAGCCCATCAGTAGTACTCTAAGTGGACTAGATACATCAGTGTTGAGTATCAAGAGGCAACACTCTATTCCTGCCACAGTGGATGAGAGTTTTGCCCCTATACAGTCTGCCTAGTTTGGAAAGCAATCAGCAAGTTTCCCAACTAGACCACAAATCATAGTGAAAGGAGTACAACCCAAACATGAATCTTGATTGAAGCAGGGTTTTCACTCCATTCTTCAGCACACCCTGCAGAAACTTTGGTGATGAACAGACGTGCACCTGAAATTCATCCTCCTTCATTCTGAGTCACATTTGAGCTCTTTCAGTGTCACATATGCCAGCGGGCTTCCACCATGCTCCTATCTTCAGGGGATATGAAGTTCCTCCTACCATTATCACAGTTCTACGTGTGGTCCTTTCCCCGGACTTCCTGTAACCGTTTCTCTAAGCGATCCAGTTTGGCCAGATTCTCCTTCAGCAACTTGCTGTTTGGAACCAACTCTAAAGCTTTCTTATAATAGCCACGTGCAGTGACATAATTCCCCTATAAAAGAGTGTGGGGGGAAAATGTCATTCATATTCTCTGACACTGAAACACCATTTCTTGAGAATGGCAACTTCTATAGTGACTAGTGGAAGTCATTTATAAATTTTGACTTTTCCTGTAATAACAATATAACACTCATTATTAAACCTGGTAACTTATTTTTAAAGAACCTACTTTGTGTCTAAATTAGATCAACTAGAAAATGACAAGCAGCAGAAATAAATAATGTTGACACATTCAATATGAAGAGATAATATCACTCTTCTTCTGCAATAGCTTTAGGCTATCAAACAATCTGCTTAGACTCTCTAAAGCCAATTCAGAATGATTAAGCTGAAAATATGGTGACTTCTTATTTCTGAATACTTCAGCAACTGGTATCAGTATTATGCATTTGATCCCAGTATCAAAGGGGTTAGGTAAGGTGAAATGTAAAGTGGCAACTCAGGCACATATGTCTAAGGCAGACATTAATTCAAGCAAGATGATGTTGGAGGTAGGAAAGCTGCAAAATAGCCTGTTTTTGTAAGGGATGCTGCCCTTCCCATAGTACAGCCATAATTAGCCCAAAGTGTATGTGTATTTTAAATTATTTGATAAGAGTTCCCAGTCAATGAGACTTAGCTCTCCACCTGGGGCTGTAACAGATGTTATACTCTGGATCAAGCACAAAGGTGGATATCTAATACACATTCAGCATGCACCTTTTGGTTGCTTGAAAGCCATTTTGGTTTGAAACATAAACATGGTCGATTTTTTCAACAGAAGGGCAGCTGATTTTCCTACCTTGATATGCTCAATGCCTCCCATGTTCATCCAGGCCTGGGCTTGATCTGGATTCAGCTCTACAGCCAGTTTATAGCTCTAAATAAATAAAATTGTCTTTAGGCTAAAAATGTTGGGCCTCCAATTAAAAAACACACTGGAGTGGAAAGAGTGACCGTCTTTACCCTATCTCTTAAGGAGATATTTTCTTTCCAGTGTTATGTTCTTCCTTTAGTTTTTCTTATGCACAAAATACATGTTGAGTTTCAGATTCTTAAGTAGAGACAAATGAAAGGCACCATTTCTCTAAAGGGCCTATCTCAGAAAATATGCTGTGTCTGCAGTGCCCCGTGGAGAATAAAAGGCAACATCTATGACAGCACATTATTTTCTGCTGATCCTGATCTGCAGGGATGCTCTGCACTTTATTGTTCCCTTTGCCACCTGGTATGTGCCACTCACATCATAAAAGTGTCTCCACAACTCCACATACCCATGAATGTGCAGGGAGAAAACACAGACAGGTTTTTAACTTGTTACTGACTGCAGCCTCTCTTACAGCATGGAATCTGTGTGAAGATATAACAAGGGCCTTAGGTAGCCTTATCCCTCCCACCCCACTTTATTTTAATTCTACAAATGTGAGGAAAACTCATCAAAAACTTGGACTGCCAATCAATTCCCCCTGTTGGATTCTAAGGCTTTTATATGGACATCCAGAATGACCACTGTTAATTAACAACAGAAATTTTGGAAGGAATTTTGAAACATTTCATGTTTCACAGCTTAAGCCAATCTCTATTAGAAAACAGGGTGATACCCAATGTAGTGTAGTGAGGAGAACAGACTGCCTGCCATCTACTTATGGAGGGGCACTTGCACCTTCTTTGGAGCCAGCTATGTTGGCCTATCTACACCGCAACATCACTGTGTCCTGGAAGAGCTGCTCCTGAGCAAACCCTACCTGCTCATTCCTGCTGACATGCTCCAAACCCAGAACAGTACCCAGGAGGCCTTTCCAAGACATCCTTCTGCAGACCCTCAGTCTCTGCAAAAGCAGCTTCTGAGGATGATCCCAGAACAGCCTCCTGGCACATGTCTGGGCTTTGAGTGTAAAGGGAAAGCATAGATAGGGCATGTTTTGGAGCGTCTCTGACAGGATATGGTGTCATTACAGAATAGGCATAATCTGTCAGATAACGGATCCAGTGCCAGACAGACTGTGGGTCTGATCAGTCTGGCTGTGCTCCTCACGACCCCCTTATCTATGTTATTTCAACTTTAGTAGAAAAGCTCCATCTTGGCTCCATGTTTTTTGGCATATTTACAAAACAGAAGAGTGTGAGAATGGAATCCAGGTCCACAAAGGGAACTCGGTTGTAATTTTAACTGTGGAATTGATACCACCCATCCATAACTCCATCTGTATTGGATAATAGCCATAAAACTAAGCAAGCATCATGTATACTACCTGAAGAGTATTATTTACAGATAGTTCATTTCTTTAAGCTATAAGACTGTCCACATGATTTAGTACAGAGGTTCCCAAACTTTCTTATTGCATACCCCCTTCCAGATTTACCAGCTGCCCACATACCCCTACCAACATACATTTTATATTTTAACCTTGTAAATGGCAATTACTATTATAATGAAAATTAAATCCACCATTACACAATTTCTCCCACACAACCCCTTCCCGAGAGATGTCTTGCATACCCCCAGGGATACATGTACTACAGTTTGGGAAATCCCGATTTAGAGCCATAATACCTCAAAAGCTTTTTCCAGAAGGTTCTGTTCTCTTAGCTGATTTCCTTTAGTAAAAAAGAGCTCTGATATGACTTTTGGATCCTTTGGTTTCAGCTGAAGAGCTTTATCAATAGCTTCTAATGCCTGCAGAAAAAGAAAAAGGATACTAAAACAGGCAGGGGATGCTATGTGCGTGTACATGGCCCCAGGCAGCCTGGAGACTAGCTCCCACAGGTAAGTGGGGGGTGTGGGTATTGAGGCCCCCATAGGGAGGGAGGGATGGAGGGAGCTGGGCAGGGCTGGGGCTGCTGCCCAGTTGGGCGGTGTGTGGTGTTTGGGGCCCAGGGCTGCAATGTACAGCCACAGGGACTTGGTGGGGAGTGGGACAGGGCTGCAGGAGGCTCATCCAGCAGTGGGGGGGTAGGGTCGGCTCCCCAGTGGTGCATGCAGTCCCAGGTGAGCACGGGGGACTCATGCCCCCGAGATCTGTGTGCAGGGTTGGGGTGGGGTTCCTGCTATGGGCTCAGGCTCCCTGCCTTGCTGCCCTCTCCCAAGGCCTCCGCAGCCCAGTGGGTATGACCCAGGCAGCACAGGGCTTGCAGTGGCAAGCAGCTTCCCTGTGTGGCCCTGCTGGACCCTGCAGTGCGAGGTTGCACCTGCTGCGCTGAGGAGGCTTCAAGGGAGGAGGCCTGTCCCTGCCCCGTGCACAGATCTGTGGGGCACAGGTCCCCCCCCATCCCCTGAAAGCGTGCAGTGTCAGAGAGCTGGCCCCACCCCACCCAAGCTTACAGCAGACAGGCAGCAGGTGGGGAGCTGAGCTCTGCTCCTCTGCAGCAGCCACCACCTCCCACTGGGGGTAGGTGGCTGTGGATCCAGGTCCCTAGTCCCATAGCCCTGGCAACTAGGGACCCCCTCTAGGAGGGCTGGGAGGGGCAAGGAGCTATGGGTGGGGGGGCGAAGGGCATGAGCAGGGCCAGAGGGTTGGGAGGGGGAGTGAGGGGCATGAGCAGGGCTGGGGAGCTGTGGAAGAGGAGTAAGTGGCACCAGCAGGGCTGAGGAGTGAGAGGCTTGGACCTGTGTTCTATGAGCTAAGGGGGCTGGGAGAGCTCTGATTTTCCATGATAAAAAACTGAAAATCAAATGCCAAAATTTATAGGTATTTAGAATTTATTTTATTATAGCAATTAAAGCACTGGTAGGCTTTCAAATTGTAAATATATCAGGAAAACATTTTGTTCAACTGATACCTACATAGATAGTGGCCTTTCATTTTAATGACAGATTTTGGGGGGGGGGGGGGGGGGGGGGGGGGTTGGGTT